ATTGAATTACATAAAAAAAATCTACTTAGTTAAGGATTTCATTGTTCTTTATCTAAAAAAAGTTTATGACTTAATTCATTCATAAAACCAATAAAGTAAATTTTTTAAACATTTTAAAGGGACACAAGTTCTAAAATTTTTTTCTGAGATTTAGTGAGGGTTAGATTTTGATGTGCGCAGTCTCAGTTTAAATTCTGTATTATTTATTTAGTTAAAAAATATTACTTTCCCTTTTCTCAATCGAATAAACATACAATATAATTTTAAAAAAATTTATTCTATCATATGATATGAATTATGTACATAATCCTAAAAGTAGAATAAAAATTTAATATTCAAAATCATTAAGACAATTTTACTTAATTTGGGAAATTAACAAAAATATCTTCAAATAAAAGATTTGATCTAAATTAATTTAGGAAAAGTTTGATTCATTAAATTGTATAATGAAGCTCAAAAGTAAAGTTAAATAATATATGTCAGAAAAAAACTTCATTTAGGATTTATTTATAAGCCTTCGATTCAATGTAAAAAAAAAAACTTCACATAATTTAAATATACATTGTAACATCATAAAACAAATTCTATCGATATTAATGCGGTTTAATATTGATCTTAGAAACTTTAAAACCATCAATCAATTTTTAAAAAAAATATTTTGAAAACCATCTGTTACGCATCCCACAAACCAATCTCTTTTTAGATCAAAATACAGTAAAAAAATAAATGAACAAAATAGTTAATTGATTTGAAAATAATTTTACTCAATAACGACAAAATATGGCGGAAAATTGAAATTTTCTTTGATGTTTTCTGTAAAACTCGATAGAAGGAGCTTCTTCATATCTGTTTGAAACAAGTTTTCTCTATTCAAAAAGGAAACGGGAGGTTTCTCCCACCCCCTATCTTCAACCCATTTCGAACCCTATTGTAATCAAAGGAGAGGCTAACGATTTCGATTATAAGAACTCAAAATTATTGCTTGCCAGATATTTAGTCGATATATTTCTATGCCATTAGCAACAACACAAACTGTTTACTTAGTTGAAGCTGCATTTTAAACATCAGATGGGCCCCAACTATTGATTATGTTCCCTTCGAAGAATAAACGCCAAAAGTTTTCTCTTCTTCGAAAACTAATGTTTTCTGCTTGTGTTATTGATTTATCGATTTACAGAAGACATACACAAAACAGAAAGAAAGGGAAAAAATGTTACTACAAAACAATGTTTTCTTCGGAGATTTTAAATCGGAAAAGAACGGAGTTGAGTTGTTTCCGGGAAGCAACGAATTTGAATGTTCGGATCCAGAAAAACATAAATCTGGGAGAAAGAAGAGGGTATTTTTTATTACACTAATTACTTAGGAGTTGTTTGGGGAAAAAAATAATAATGACTCCGTGTAGCTAACACGTTTTGGTAATACTAAAAAGCCATAAAATCAAAAAACACCGGAAATAAAAAAAAATTAATTACTATTTTATTTGGGGAAGAACGGTAAAACAGGTGTAAGGGGAAAAAGTTTTCAAATAGCGGCTTATAGCAAAGATCATTACACGGTGAACTGGTCAGCTTTGTTGTATCAGAAATATTTTTGCTTTCAAACTCTATCTAACATAATGGCTTCGAAGTTGTTTTGCAAGAGACACATTTTCATTATATTCTGGAGAAAAAAAAAGTTCGAGGGGAAATAATCAAGCTGAAAAGAACGGAATAAGGCTGCGTTTTTTAATACAATCGGAATTTTAATTCTCTTCACATTTTATGCAAATTTGACGGCTAAATTTGTATCAAAAATTATTTCTACCGAAATGGTATGGTTGATTCAAGCTGGAATGAGTCAGTAAAAAAAAATTTAAAAAAAAAAAAGTTTTTTGGTGTAGTAACAAATAATGATTTAAACATAGAATGTACGCATAAAGTTCATAATGACTTCGAAGTTGTTTTTCAAGCTGCACATTTTCATTATATTCTGGTTAAAAAAGTTGAAGGGGAAATAATCACGCTGAAAAGAGCGAAATAAGGCTGCGCTTTTTTTCAAGATTCTGCAAATTCATTTGAAATTATAATTATTTTTACATTATATACGAATTTTACGTCTAACTTCGGATCAAAAAATACTTCTACCGAGTTGGCTTGGCTGGTTCTGGTTGGAATGAGTCAGTAAAAAAAAAAAATATTATTTGGTGTCATAACAAATTTTAAGCATATAATTTACATATCAAATTCATGATGACTTCAAAGTTGTCTTTCAAGATCCACATTTTCATTATATTCTGGTGAAAAAATTAAAAGAAAAATAATAAAGCTAAAAAAAAAAAAATAGTATAAGACCGCGTTTCTTTTAATACGTTCAGAATTTTAAATATTTTCACATTTTATTCGAATTTGACGCCTGAACTCGTATTAAAAATTACTTCTACTGAGATAGATGAGTCAGTAAAAAAAAACTTATTTGATGTCATAACAAATGATTATTTAAATAATGAGCTCCTAAAATTCATACATTAAATTATTTTCTAATAAATTTTTCACTTGAATATAAAAAAAAAAAGTCGCATTAATATCACAAGATCAGTATGTCACTTAAGCAATTCATGAATTTTATGACTTTTTCACTTTTCTTAAATATTTCGATTGATTCAAAGAAAAAAAAATGCAGTAACATAAACAAGCGTTTCGATTATTTATTTTCTTTCTTCGGTATTTGTTTATTTAGAATAAAATTTGCCATCGGATTACATTGTAAAAAATTATTATTACGGTTTAAAGTATCAATACTTAGGGTACATAATCCGTAAAATCCATTTTACCGTATAATGCATTTTTACTGTAAAATCTTATACAGTGATTTTACGATGAAAAATAACGGTATATCAGATTTTTTTTCCGTTAATTTAAAAAAAAAATTTATCTGGAATTTTTTACAATGCAGAGCCTGTAATAGAAATATTACTGTGAATTTCTCATATATGCTAAATGCCGTCATTTTCCTTTAACTATCGATAGTTGAAAAAGTGGTGAAAATACAAAATATTTGTTAAATATCAAACAGAGAAATAAATTCTGGTAAAATTATCGAACGGTATGGTAATAACATTTCTAAAAAAACCAAAATTCTGGTTAATAAAACCAGAGCTTCTTTTTCTTCTTTAACTCATTCTAATTACCATACATTTAGTAAAAAATACAAAATTGAAAAGTAAATTGAACCAAATAAATGACTTTTTATGCCATTCTCTAAGGGTATCATGATGAACTTACCAAATATTACCACATTCGCCCACACACACATATCACACATTATAAAACCATATTTCATTGTCAGTTTCACCAAAATCATTACAAAAACGCCATGATAAAAATTAGCTAGGTTTTTAGTGTTTCCGTATACTCAGAATCACGGTAAATTTTTACCGTGTTTTGATAGTTTTAATAATTCTTTTTTCCCGTTGCATTATTTCGCACATATACCAGCAAACTTTGATACTAAATATAGTAAATATTGACTAAACAATTGTTACCATTATTTCTGTTGCGAATGTTAAATATCGACATTTGCCATTGTAAGAGAGAATCTATGATATTAAAAAAAATATTCACACCTGAGTGTCTATATTTGTAATCTCGGAGTAATAAAAACTTATTAGTAGGAATTATTAAGCAAAATATGTTGAAAAATATTACTAGAAAAAGTAAAAATTAATATTCATAAATTTTGTAATCGATATATGAATTTTGTAATCGTATGTCCAAAATCGATTGAATATTAATATTTTCCGGTAAATACTGCGAAATATTTGTTAAATATCACCACTTCGCACATATTACATCAAATTTGCGCTTTAAACATGCATTGATATAAAATGTTGGACAAAAATTATTTCTAGCATTATTTACCACTTACAAAGCTGTTATCAGTGCATGCTTAATATCAACTGTTATCAGTTTTAAACAAAAATCATGATGTTTAACAAACATTTCTGACTTTCACTAACTTCACAAATACTTTCCAATTTTGGACTTTCTCAGGAACATAATGATATTATTCGGAATTATTATAAGCTGAAAATATGCGAAAAATATTACACGGAAAAGTAAAAGTTCATATTAAGTTAGATGTGTATGTTATCGTTATTGCCATAGCATTCACACAAGGATTGAATGTACGAAATATGTAATAAATATCACCATTTCACAATTACGAGCTCAAAACATGACATTCAAGCCTACATTGATGGTAAATATTGAAATACAAATCCTTTTTCGCTGTGTAGTAGTCATTATTTCTCATTTATAACATTAACACCACACTGAGAAAAAAAATATGTTTACTTTTATCGTGTTTATTAAAAGGGAACATGAAAAAGCTCGGTATTTTTACCGAAATGGGATATGAAAGAATTGGGTAAATATAGCAAAATTTAGTGATTTTTATCATGATTTAAACCAAGGCATAAAAACCACTTATTCGGTTAAATTTACATATCAGTTTTGATTTTTTTTACAAAATGTTTGGTACCAAGAACTATAATTTTGAAAACCAGAATTTCCCGTAAACTGTGGCTACTATGAACGGTAAAATTACCAAATGAATGGTTTATATGGAGGTGAGTTGCATGGATAAGAAGCACTGGCATTTGTCAGCTGTTGAGGCAGCCATGGCCTGCAAGGGGCTGTTGCGCAGACAAAGAAGAAGATGGTTTACAAATATAAAATATTTTGGTTTTATTACCAGATTTATGTTTTTTAAACCAGAAATGACAGTATCATACAATACGGTAATTTTACCAATGATAGAAAATAATAATTAATAATGATAATTAAAATAATTAACAAATATTTCGGACTTTCGCTAAGGAATCCATATGAATGCCAACATTCACATTTTTCAGTACATTACCGTAACAGGGACATAATTATATGACTCGGAATTACTAAGTAAAAATGCTGAAGATGATTACTATATAAAAAAAAAAAGGTATTAAATAGAAATCTTACCAAACGAATGCCAAGCCGAAGTGAAGACTGCACAGTCTCCGACTCTTCAAATTTGTGGTTTACTCCAAGAAAAGAGAAACACGTTTACAATTTGACCTTTATCTTGCCTTACTTCCCCATTTTTCCCCTTTTAACCGGGATAGTACCTCAGTTGGTCAAGCAAGGCGGCAATTTTGTCTGAGACAAGAGATGATTTCGTTGTTCGTGAGAAAGTGTGGAAAATGTTTGGGTGTGACGAATTAACAACCAGTCGTCTACACCGTTTATCCTTCATTCATATTTTAAGGGACCGAATAAAAATACATATAAATTAAAAGAAAATACAAAATGTATGTTTACGGGTCTTTTTAAATTAAAGTGCGTTACTGTTATTGCAGAACTTTACAGGACTGTATCAGTTAAGCAAATTGTTATGTTTATGTTATGTACCATTAACTAGAGCAAATTTGTCAGGTTTTCAATCATTTTTAGCGCAATAAAAAGTATCTGAAACCAAAACAATGATGACATAGTATTTTTCGGTATTATAAAATAGCTTTTTCTTCAATTGTTTAGTTATTAGTATTTACTATTTATATTTGTTTAGCTTCAGCTCTCAGGGTGCCAAAAATTCCTGAATTAAAAATCTGCCAAACTTGCCCTGGTTAAGTATTATAGAAATTTATTTTAATAACCTGCACGTTTTTAACTGAAATATAGTTACAATCGGGAAAACATTGGCTTTCATCGTTTGGGAATAAAAAGATTTAGAGTTTTAGAAGGATTTAATAATGGGAATTTAATAAAGTAGAATTCAATTTTTTCTTAGAAATACATTTTTGATAAGATATATTGTATACTTCTTTAGTAGTAGTTTTTAGATAGAGAATCGAAAATAAGCGAAAATACAGATTTAGACTGCCTTATTTCCTTGGGAAGAAAATAAAATAAAAATAGTCATTAACTAATTCATAAATTAAATGAATAAATTCATCAACTCTATAGTATGAAGAAAAAGTTCTGCATAGTGAAAACTTTAATGATATGCTAATTTGATTTAGATAAATAGAGACAGCTTTACTAAGTTTATAAAGTACTTATTTTGGAGCCCTGAACTAAATAATAGCAAAAGAAATTTTTTTAATCGCCGAATTGATAATTCATTTATCACGTCTGATTATCTCTTTTTTCGGATCATTTTCTCTCTCTTATCTCTCTGACTTTTTTTGCGAAAACACTTTTAAAAATCATTTTATATACGGAAAAAAATTGCTTTTTTACCCAAGATAATACTTTTATAAAAATTTTTTGCAATTAAATAAAAATTGTATTCTAATCCGAGTTGATTCGGGTTTAATGCAATTTAGCCTCGGAAGTCAAGTTTTAAACTTAGCAAATTAAATACAATGATAATTTTAAAAGTTAAAAAAAAATCGAAAATTTTCCTATTACTCTTTTCAATATTAGTTTTCTGTAGTACAAATTTTACGTAAACCTAATCATAAAAAAAATAATTAAATAAATTTTTAAAAAAGAGACGAAAAGTCCTGTAAGCATTTTTAAGATAGGAGGGATTATTATGCTAATAAAAACTGATATTCTACTTTATTTCAACCAGGAAATTGCGATCTATGAATTTATTTATCTTTCTGATGAGTTGTCGATTTCTATTATGCGTAAGTCAATATTTTTCCGTTCATTCGCAATGACTATGAAGAATCGTGTAAGGCTCAACTGTTTTTTTTAGCAAACATTATTAGACATATGAAATTACATATTGTTCAGTCTCGATTTTTTCAATGCGGTACATATTTAGAATTAAGGTGCATTCTTAAAACTTCAATATTCTTTGGTAAGTTTCGATACTATTTTTTAAAATTTCCATGACCCTCTCTTTCTTTACAAAACTGTTTCACAAGTGCTGTTATGATACCATATTATGCTTCAAAAATCATGTAACTCATTACACAATTAGAGTAAAAGCAATTGATATTTAAAAGATATATTTTTTTTATCGTTTTAAACAAAAGAAAAGCTACTTTAAGTTAAAATCTTTCATAAGTCACACAAACATAAAAATATTACAAAAACAAAATATAACATCAAATACTTATTAACTTATTGTGAAATTTTAGCGTTTAATTATTATTACTATTATTATTATTATTATTGTAATTGAAAAAATGCCTAAAAATAATCTTAATTGCTGATCACTATTTCTTGTACCATGTCGAAAGCACAGAATTTTTTCCCTCAAGTATTTATTATCTTTGTAAAGTTATTGAATAAATAAAGAGTTAGTCGCTTTTTCAAAACAGTTATTAATAAGAGTTAGTTATAATACAATAAATTATAAAATTTTTACCCGACACAATTTAAATGAAGACAATTGTTAGAAAATAAAATTGCAAACCATCCGACACATAATCAAACAGCATCTTTTATTTTGAAATATAAATGTAATAGTTAATCTCTTTGTTTATTTATGCGTATGAAAGAAATTAATAATAGAAGTTTCATTTGATTATATTTCAAGCATTGAATTTAGAGAGATACTTATAAAATATTTAAATTGCTACTAGGGTGACAAAAATATTTAAGCTTAAAGTAAAATAGGCTAAAATTTATGTTTAAATGCTTAATTACATTTTCACACTTAATTTTTATGCATTATTTTATATTTAGTTTCATGTAAAAATAATATTTCGCTCTATAATTAAACGAATCGGATAGTATTTATTTGTATACGCAACAAGAAAAAACTTTCAGGAGAATACTATGCAATAGAAAATATATTTTAGTGGTTTTATATTGTACAAACCATATTTGAAAGATTTTCATTAAAAAAAATATATTATATAGTATATTTTGGTGATATCAGCGTATTTTTTTTTTATCTTGGGACAAAAAAGTGTATAATGTTTTATACTAAAGAATATAATGATCGCAAAGTTCCTATTTTTATTTAATGAGAATAAAGTTCCAAATAAAAACGTTAAAATTTCTTTTCGAGATGTTTCTTTAGTTGTATTGCTTAAGAATAATTAAAATCATTAACAAAAATATTGATCAACATTGAAATTTAATTTGATATTCATCAATAGAAATATAAGATAACTTACATTTACTTTTAAATTTATTTCTATTTTTTTTTGCAAATTCAAACGTTTTACCATATGCTTAACCATATGTTTACCATATGCTCAGTCGTAAAAGAGAAGCATTATGTTGCAATTTACTTCAAATTTAGCACCTTACTAAAGTTGTAACAAATTTTAACCTTAGGTGTATTTACAAGAGCCAAGGTTCGTGGAGTCAAGTACGGTTTAAATTCACCCATCAAAACAAGCAATAATTAACTTAAAATTCTACAGAGAGATAAAAACTCTAGTAAAATCAGAGTACTGCATGGTAATGACAGTATTGATTAACGAAGCTCTGATTCTAGTTATAAAAACCAGAACATGCTGTATTTAAACCACTATTTTGATAATTTTTCCTTTCATATGGTAACGGTTTACCGGAAATTCAGTTTTTCAGAATTATAATTTTTATTAACACATATATATATTAAAAAATACAAAACTGAAAATTAAATTTAACCGAATAAATGTTTTTTTTTGCCATGCTCTAAGGTATCATGATAAAATTACGAAATTTTGCAAAATTTTATTAGATAATATTGTAAAACCATATTTTATAGTTAATTTTACCGAACTCATTACCAAAACATTTGGAAAAAATTAACGAACTTCTTGTTGTTCCCATAGAGCCAAAAACCCGATACTTTTACCATATTTTTGTAGTTTTGACCATATTTTTTTTCAGTGTACAAACCTTATGAATTATACATTGGAACAACTGAGGTGTGAAGAATTTTAAAACTTGAAGCATTCGTAATCAAAACTTGCCAAATTAAAGCTAAAGTACTTCGAAAAAAATCGTGAGCAATATTTTCATTTTAATACATAAAGAATATCACAGGATATTTTAGTAAACTAACTTAAAAGAATTTAGCGACATAAAAATAGAAACTTCTGTAGAATACATATCGTAGGCAAGACCAAGAAAATTGTATAACACTATGGATACATCTGAAATTAATTGCTTTTTAATACTAAAGTTTTAATTTAGAAGACTTAATAATTTTTGACCCATTCTAATAAGTATATAATGGGATATACAAATTTGTCTTAAGCTTTTTTTTCCTTGAAAAAGTTAAATAGCGAAAAAAGGAATGGTCAAAACAGAATACAGTGGTTTTTATAGTATTTCTGCCTCTATAAGAACATCAGAAAGCTCGGTAATTTTCACCGAAACACTTTGGCAGTGATTTTAGAAAAATTAACAATAAAACATGGTTTTATAATCAGTGATAAAATTTGGTAAATGAGGTAAAATTTGGTAATTTTATCACGATACCTTAGAGCGCGGAATAAAATTCATTTGTTCCGTAAATTTTATTTTTCAGTTTTGTAGTTTTTTACAAAATGTGTGATAATAAGAATTATAGATTTTGAAAAGCAGAATTTCTGGTAAACCATAATCATATGAACGGAAAAATCATCAAATGAATAGCTTGCATAGTATAAAAGGCTATAGCATGTACAAAACTAAGAAATTTCCAGATTCGATGCCAAAATCAATAGCCAAAAATATGTAATCCAACAACAGCAACCTTTCCTTGTATGGCTGGTTAACGGTAAAAACAGTTTAACAAAATGCGACAGTCTACGAAATTGGTAATGAAGAAAACTCCATATTATATTAAATATATTAGTCCTAAATATTTCGATCTGATACACATAAAACTTTTTTTTAAAGCATTGGTGCAACTTTTTGTCAATTGAACGCATGTATGTCTGGGAAAAAACTATATTGATTGTTTAAGTACTAAGAATAGATTGATATGAAATTGTCTAACGTTTATGTTAATATTGCATAATTAAATGCTTATAATTATAGTAGCAATAATTATCATCGAATAAATTATGTGCATGCCTTTATCCAACATAGGGAGAATAATCAAATGATATTGAAATGAACTGATCAAATAAATCATCAGTTGGGTTACATCTGATGATTTATTTGATCTGATTCATTTAGAATAATTTTTCTATAAAAATCATTTATACAACTATTAGACAATTGGATTTGTATATGTTATATGGTAGGGAGGAAAATATCAGGATTACGAAAGTCTCAAAAATAATTCAATGAAATGAAACTGCCTAAGAAATTGACAAGCAGGTAAATTTATATTGTATTAAATACTTTTAATTATCGCAGTGAAGGCTTAATGAAACTGCAAAAAATTGACTACCAGATAAACACATACTATATTAAATGTTTTCAATTATCGCATCAGTAAATATTATATTATAAATAAGAACAAAACATTCAACGTAACCCAAGTGATGATTATTTAAAAACTTAATGCAAAAATGAAGAAGCTGTGTAAAACTTATTTATCCACCGTTCAATTAAGAAAGCACGACAATCTCTTTCTAATAGGGCATAAATCTAAAGCCGTCATCGAAGAAATTTAACTCTCTTCCTTTCCCCAACTTTCCCCCAACTATAGAATACTATAAATCTTGAAATGGGTGCGAGAGAAGATCATCCCGAGACGAATTTACAAAGTAACATTTCCCGGACGCTATTAATTGACCAGCGTGAGCAAAGAGTATGCGCAAAAGATATCCAACAGCGTGACCAGAACCTTGCACCAATTTAATCTGATAGTGACGTAAATTATTCGATCCAGGCCCTTTTTGATATCTACTCGCTGCCAGAGTAGAGAACGAGCAGTCGCACCTAAGGCAGGTAACTCGGTGGACGCTCCACCTTGGCATTCCCTTGCTCAAGAGTTGGCCCTGCACCAGTCTCTGGCGCGCGCGCCTATTGGACAAGGAGGCTGGATCACGTGATATCACTTCCACACCGTCCCCCTCCTTTTTCGCCCTTAAACCATGAATTCATCATTAATAATAGAAATAAAAAAATAACGCAGAGAAAACGCTCATCACAGAGAGACAACCAAAAAGAATCTCCAGAGCTACCTGAACAGTTTGGCGAATATACCAGTTTGGAATGCCGGGTAGTGACCATCTTCGTGTATCCACTACAACCGAGTACTTAGACCAGCAACAAACGGCGCTATCTCAAGGTAGGAGCACCAGCTGATATGCCAGGTAATTCAAGAAATTTATGGACTATCATATCTGTCCATTCGTCTACTGAAATGGGGTAGTACGTGCACGCGCAATTGCCGGCTTTTTCACTCTGAGTGGATAGTATCAACTAGACCGGTCGACTGTTTTTCGCGGACCAAAACTAAAAAAAAAATATAATCTAGTCTGCAGTGTTTTTAGTAGATGCTCACATAGAATTCGGTCATTACTTTCGCTTCTTTTTGTTTACATTGCCACCCAACTTGGTGTTTGTTACACGTGCTGTGGCTCGTAAATGTGAAGATATATATATATTTTTTTCTTTCATAAACACTGCTATTTTACTTTTTGAATCAAGGGTCGAATAAATATAAAAACCAATTGATAAATTACGAGTTTGGGATTCACATAGTCAGTTTATGATTAATTTCAATTATGAAAGAATAAATCCTGCTTCACAAAATCTACATTCTACTACAAAAAAATACAGATTAAATTTCGGTATAAAGTACTTTGGGTGCCGCTTAGTCTATAAAATTCATTTTACCGTAAAATAATATAACGTAATTTTTACATTTATATTAATTACATTACAGTGATTCAGAGATTTTAATGTAATTATTACTATAAAAACTGAACATGTTCCGGTAAAAATGGACTTAATTTGGTCTGAAATTTTTTACAGTGTGGAAAAATATCTGCGAAATGGATGGAAATATAGAATTCATCTTTATTATTAAAAATTATTATTGAAAATATTTATTTAAAAAAAAATATTCCACTGATTCTAATCTATAAATTAATGACATATAAAAATTAATAAATATACCCCAAGTCGGGAGTTAAGTTTGAACTTATTTTAAAAATTTTACGTCCGTCATTTGTTAAGTTTAATAATATCTGATAACATCATGAAGTGTAACGCAAGAAATTGCAATTCAACTCAATTTTGGAATATTTATTGGGAAATAAGAGTCAATACGTCAGCTATTTTAGGCATTTAAAAATCTCTACTGTGGCACAAAAAGGCCGATTTCTAAATATCTTAATAGTCAATAATCAATTGTTCGATATTAAGAGTCAATTTCTGAATAATATTTTTCAAAAAAAGACGAGAAAAAAAACGATAAATTGTGCATAATTTGTACTAAAGTATAATTTATTCACGTTCATTATATTTCAGTCTTATTTATAATCGCTAATTTATTATGAAAAGCATTATAAAGTAATTCCTTCAATTATATGTTTATTGAAGTCTCTTGAATTTTTAAAGCGCTTTGTAAACAACTGTTATCATTTATTTCGATGATTTTTAAATTTGCATTTTGTTCCCATTATTTTTATGTTTCAAGGAAGAAAAATGTTTACCATTTTATCAATAGTCATTACATATAGAGACAGAATCAATATTTCTCAGATTATTTTAAATTAAGTTTTTAATATGAATTGCATGGGGTAGTTGCAATTTTCATTTTGGTGTTATATATTTCTTGCTAATCATAGGTCTCGATTATAAAATTATTTATTGTGTATAATTTACAAAATAATTATTTTCTTCAAACCATATTAACTAGAGTGGAATTTTTGAGCAATTGCATATATGTTTTAAATAAATCACGTTTTAAAGGAATCTATTACCATCGACCATTCAATTACACACCCTTTTATTTCTGTTTTAGACAAAAGATGAGTAAATAACACAAATATAGCTAAAAAATAATATTTAAAAATTATAGAGAAACATTAACTAAATGTACGAAATAATGAACTTCTATTCTTTTCTATTTTAAGATTTATATCAGTTTGAAATATTGCTATATTTGAAAGAAAATTGTCTATAATTCAATCGCAAAAATTATAAATATCTTTATCTGATAAATTTGCATGCAAAATGATTGACATTTTTTATTTATACAAGATAAGTTTGGATGTCTAAAAAATCAATTTGAGGATGTACTTATCATAAAACTTTTATTTATTTTCTTATTATCAGAATATTTATTTTTTCAATAAAACAGTTAGGATATATTAGATAATCTGATCAAAAAAGAAATGTAAAGATCTGCATATCATAAAGCTGCTGTTTATTTATTTATTTTTTGAATATTTACTTCTACAATATTACAGTTCGGAATTTAGATAATATGATAAATAAATGAAATATGACATTGTACATATAAAAATGCTTGCATTTATTATATCATTAATATTTTGCATATGTAAGTTAATCCGATAAATTAATAAAATAAACATTAAAGCTATTATAAAAATACATTTAGAAACAAAAATGACCTGCTTGACAAACTCAAATAGCAATTACTTAGCACATAATTATTTGCAATAAATATATACTCAATGCAATTTTTTTTGATGAAGAAATGAAATTCCGTATTATAATTAAATTTAAACAATAGCATTTTAAATACACTTAGGTAAATCATATTTTATAAGACATCGCTTTTGTAGTGACAATTAAAATATTAACTATTTTCTTAGCTATTTAAAATAAGTGACGATACCTAATTGAAATAAATGACTATATCTATTTAAAATAAGTGACTATAAAAATGATTATTAAGCTCTAGTTAATTTAATCATAAAATAGCTTAATATAATTTTTAAAGCATCATTGTTCTATGTGATATTTAAAATAATTATCGGTTAGTTTTCCCAAACCAATTTTAAAAGCAAGAAGACAGAGTTTTAATTTTTTTTCGCACAAATTATTGTAGGTTTAAAAAATAGTTTTTAATTTATTATTTACTAATACTTAAACTACTTACTATTTTACTTTTTCAAAAAAAAAAAAGTTAAATAATTGAAGTGAACTTATTTAATATGCTAATTGAAATGGAAGTTTAGTTTAAAAAAAAAACTTACTATAATTATTAAATGTATAAGATTTTCTTGGTACAAAAGTTACAGGATTGTTTTAAAAAAAATTTTTTTTCAATTAATTTCATTTATTTGCTTTTTTTGATGTATTATTTCACAACAGTAATACTGATTAAAATATTTCAGTCATATAATAGCTGCCCAGAATGTATTGTAATACCAAATTATCAAACTAAAATTGATATGGTTTTAAAAATAAGGACTCCAGATCAATACATTTTCAAAGCATTTTTCCTTAAATTCTCACAGGAAATTTAATAACACAACGTACCTTTAAAGGAATATACTTTTTACATTTCAAATCGATTTGAAATTTCAAATACTATATCTAAACAAAAATAAATAGATTAAATTGAATTCTTTTTTTGTGTAAATGTGAATTACATTATGAATGTGAAGTAAATTTTTGGGAAATCCATCGCTGAATATTTTGACATGGATTTTAGAATACGGGATAAAATAATGATATTTTGACCTATTTTTTGTTGTTAAACGATTAAAAAAATTCTATTTAAGGCTTTTATTTATCATGGTATTATATAGAGTAGCTATATTCAAAAAATAAAAATATAGTCATTTTGCCATTACAAAGAATATAAGTATTTTATTTTTAGCATTTTGCAAAACAATAAGTATGTGTTTTGAACATATAACAGTGATATAAGCATAAATTAATCTAAGTTCAAAGTATGCATTATGATAAATAAATTATATCATTTATCTTTACTTTAAATGTATAAGCTTATTTGTTTTTGATAATAAGCCTGTTTATAGTAAAAACAAAAGCCTAGTTATTCTGAATTTATCAAATCTCCCTCATACTATTCCCGTGTAATAGTATTTTCTTTGAATTCCTCCGACTTGCCTAATCACGTGATCCACAAGTTCCCAACTTAGATGGGTAATGTACCGAATAACGGCGACACGTGACACAAAGTTATGAAAAGTATTCTTTAGAGGCAAGCAACCGGATTTAACACGCAACTAAAAAAAAACCTCAACACCAACTAAAGTTGTTTTATCTTCTTTTCTTGTAAAGAACTAACATGTGACAATGACAGTGTTATGCGATACTTAAAGGGGGTGGGGAAATTCAAGGGTGTCGGTGAATGAAACCCCACGGAGTACCCAGACTGAATTGCTGTCACTTATCTAGCATAAAAAAGAACACTTTCTAGGGTCAGGTGAAGTTAACAGCATGATTATAATACACATCAAAAGGATATATCACTAAAATATGTTTGAAACATGTTGAGCAGTGGTTAGAAGGGGATCACCTTTTATCTAAACACGGCTAAAAAAAGGTGTTTTATTTTTATGTTTTGAGGTCAGATATAAGTGAAGGTAGGTTTCTTCATCAAAGTTTTTGTTTTGGATACTGCTTTCATCTTTTGTTCGCAAACAAAGAACGCGGAAGAAATTGATTTTTGTAATTAGTTGTTAAAAAAAAAAAACTATGAGCTTGTTGATGATTGTTGCGATAGTCTTCATTAAATGTTTCTTAACACTTTTCTCACCGAATAAATTGCTAATTTAATAAAAGCTGAGGAACTTATTTTCATGCTTGTGTTCTGTATAGTAGAAGTTTATTAAATCTCATTTCATTATTGTTAATTTTAAAATTAAAAATTAATAATCAAATGAAAAAATAGCTATTTGTTCTGTTTTCTATGGTAATTATAATATATCTTATACTTTTGTAAAGCATCCTAAGTTTGCAATTATTGCTTTTTACTTATAATGTATCTTAAAATAGTTTCTGACAGCATGTCTTACGTAATCCTATGATTTTTAAATAATAAATGGCTTACATTCCTTTTTTTTCCCTCTTACTGAAGAATTGTTAAATATATCTCTTGAAAATAGCAATCAATAAGTTTAAATAAAATTTTAAATACATGATTATATCAAAAAAATTTTTCATTTTTAGTTTAGGTTTGTAAATAAGTAATGAGAAATTTGTTGTAATAATTTTTATTGACGCGTTATTATTTTTTGTGTTAAAATTGTTTTGAAATTTTAAATTTGAATAATATTAGCTTACTTAGTTTGACAAAATAACTAATTCTATATTTGTAATAATTGTATAATAACAGCATAATAAAATTAAAATTAAGCAATATGAT